CCCGTCTCGATGCGGTGACGTCATTGGAAGATGGCCGGGGCGGGCGCGTCGCCATTTTGAAGGGCTCAGAGAGCGGGGGAGGGCGCAGCAGCGCAATCCGAAGCCAATCCGCCGCCATCCTCAGCCTAGTGCAGCCCGGCCTGTTCGCTTGCAGCTTCGGCCGCATCCTTGGGCACCGCGCTAAAGCCGGCTACCTCCATTTCCAGCCGGTCCGCGATGGCAGGTGAGGATGGAAGCGGGGAAAAAAAGGGACGGAAGCTGGACTGAACGTTCTCTGTGTCCTCGCCAGTCCCTCGGTTCTGGATTTGTTTTTAAATTTGAAGCTTTTATTTTTCTCCCTCCCCCCTTCAAGGCCTGGGGTTTTGAGCGTTGAACTTATTGCTCCACAGAGTGAAGGAAAAGGGCAGGGTTGCACCTGAGAGGGTTCAAAGCTTTAAACAGTTTAGATAACGATTTATAATTCCTGGAGTTTGTTGATTTCTTTTTTAAAAAACGATAATAAGAGCCAGCTCCAATATGAGACTGGAAAGGATTTTTTAGTTTCTTCCACTCCCCCCCCCCCCCTCCCCCGCTACACCCTCTGTGCAAATTTAATTTCAAAAAATCAATGCATATCTTATTAATTTTTTTCCCCTCTCCATTCATTCAGGAGTTGGAAGTGGTGGCAATGACATTCAGTGGTGTTTCTCTCAGGTGAAAGGAGCTATAGATGATGATGTTGCAGAAGGTAAAACAAAGCAAAATATTTATATTTCCTGAAGTTATTTTCTCTTTCCTGCTGCACCCCCCCCACCCTCCACCTCCCGGAAATCCCTGGCTTTTGTTGCTGTCTGCACTTTTTGTATGGATGTTATGTTGGAACATTCAAGCGAGTGTCAGTTTTGCTGGTGGATTTTTCTGTCTGCAGTTCCCATTTCCTGATGATAGCAACTGGTTTGGAAGGTTCAGCTGATGCACGACAGGAATTATTTGGAAATGAATGTGATTGTAGGATGCTCCCCTTAAATGTGTCTGTTCTTGTATGTATTTGTAAGGTTGGATGTGTTTATCAAAGGTGGGAGGAAGTACATGAATTGGCATTCAAGTGTGAATCAGATTTATGTTGTTAGATTTTACTCTAGCATAAAACAGACCCACTTTCCAATGGTTTGTGATTTTGCACTTCATATTTGAATGATCTGCAATACAGTCTAGCTTCAATTGAAGTTGAATTGAAGTAAAGCAGTTTTTAACTAAAATGTTTACTGTGGGAATCAAATTATTTCTTGCTTGATAGGTAGTCACTGCTCCTCCAAGTTTGCCTTTTGCACACATCGAATGAACCTAAGTAGTGGCATTCGGATCATTTAGAAGTGGCAGATTTTGTGCTTTTTGCTGTAGATGGTAGGCCAACTGAAAAAAAGAGGCTTCCAAAGAGATCCTGGTATTTTTAATTCTCATGGTCGATTACAGGGTTTCAGATGAATTTGCAAGCTGATGTATTGAGTGACTAACTTGTGTGTTTCAACATTGACTGACTGTTGGTCGTAACTACTGGACAGTACATAGAGCATTGTGTTTCTGTACACAGGTACTGTAATTCCATTTGTTGTAAAACATTGACTTGTTGTGTAGTTGTACTATATAATTCATTGAACCGTCAATGATATTTGTTGCTAAAGTTGGGTTGTGTTGGAGGGTGCTTTGTGTGATGCCAGGCTGAAATCCTGGTGATGATCGGAAGAGTGAATATTTGAACTCCACCAAATGTGAGTACAAAACAAACAGATTGGAGAAATTAGCTTGGTGCTGAGATTGAAACCAATCTGTCCATAGGTCACGGGCGTGTGAAATTCCTTGAAATAAAAATTCCTTTAAAATTGAGCTCTCTTAAACATTTCATATTGGATGGTCTCCAAAATTGGCGAGACTTCAGACATGATGTCTGCAAAGATACAGATGTTTTTTGCCCTTCGGTGTTTTGGGTGAAGATATTGTCTTGGCTTGACTGTGAGGTACCTTTGCAGGACAAAGTGAGATGTGAAGAAAAAGGGCAGGTTGGGTAGAGGTCAGATCTTTAACAATATCTCCATCTCACTGGAACACATGCTTACATTGATGGGATGGAGGACACCCTAGAGGCAGCGTGTAACTGACTGACTGAATCAAGTGAGAGTGTTAATGGTGAAGTGTACTTACTCCAGCTTTTAGTGCCTGATGGGTGACATTCTGTCTCTAATAAATGAAGTATAGCTCTTAATTCACATGTATTGATGTGTGTGCATGGCATTGCTATCCTACCTGTTTATGTGATGGGACACTGGCATATTTTAATCTCTGGCCTGTTCATATTAAGATTCAAATACAGGTGGTCCTTTGGTCCACTTGATCATTTTCTCCTCTCAGAACAAGTCAACAACTTATTGTTTCTTAAGTCGGTTGTGTGTTTTAGCTGTCATAATTTTTATTAACATTTATCTTTTCATTATCCACTGTGAAGATGCAGTCTTTTGGGTTGCAGTGAGAGGCATTATACACCAGTGTGTTATAGGGAAAAAGAAACTTCTTGAAACCAGTACCTCCAAATTTTGGGTAATAGTTTAAGCAACTCCTCAATTTGCTGTTCTGATTAATGAGTGATCTCGTGATGATTGCAGTTTAAGATGATGTTAGGACTTGGTCCAAGTTTTTGAAAAAGTAAATCTAATGTCGAAATAAATCCACATACCAAGGTTGAATTCATTAGTTCTTGTTTCTGTATGAAATGTTAGTGACAATTTATAGCGCCCAAAACCAGCCATTAGAAGAAGTATCTCTTACAGGCCAAGTAAACTTGAATGATACTAAAAAGATTAAATTTGCTGCCCAAAGTGAATTTGGAAATTGATGTGTTACTGGATTTGTTTAACTGTTTGAGATATCCTACAAAATCTTGTAATAATTCAGCAATAAAATTGTGATTTGGCAACATTTGAGAGTTGGGATGATATTTTTGTGAAAAGGTCGTGCTGAAACATTGCTGTTTTTGGGATGTGGCATTACTTAATGTTCTGTAGTGATGTTACCTCACCAGTAAGGGCACCACCAGTTTGAGTCTGAATAATAAAAGCAAAAAACTTAAGATGCTGGTATAGAAGCAGTGCTGGAGAAACGTACCTGGTATGGCAGACGATGTAGAGGGCAGCAGTTAACATTTTGAGTCTGTTGATATTTAGCTTGAAAGTTGGAATGATGATGGTTTTGCACCAACTCTGAACTGATGAGGTAGCTGATGGCAAGGCCTGACCCGAGTCAAGACTGAAGTGGCAAGAGGTAGATTGGAGGTGATCGTCTCAGCACTTCATTCTGATGCTACAATGTGAAAATAAAATCTTTCAGTCCTGGTTTACAAAGAATGCAAGGACCTTTCGGGGGCCTCGGGTTATGTAATTGGCATAACTAAACACAATTTGGATCTTTATGGAGCCCGAAGTTTGCCACTGTCTCCTTATTAACTGCATAACTGTTGGGAGAGAGCCATCTATACCTTGCCACTATATCACTGTACACCAGGTAAGGTTGCCCTGATGGTTTCCAAGGAGGCAGGTACTGTGCACTGCTAGCACTTGCCTGAAACTCAAACTGCAGTTACCGGTACCCCTGATTAGAAGTTAGCATTTAAAATAAGAGCCTCTAAAAAGAGTAGCTGTAACCATGGCAACAGTTTGTGCTTAAACTTTTAAATTGTAGTACATAACCAAGAGTCAGTTATGGTTTATTGGGAATATACTTCAGTTCACATGATCCTGAGCAATTAGTTTTCATGTTTGGTTGGAAGCCTGTATATGCATTAGCTGACTCATCTGAGATACTGTAAATGATCTCTGACCCTGTGTTGAGGAAGGGAAATTGAACACAATCAAGGTTCTTGCTCCTCTTCATTACTGAGTGACTTGTTTTGGAAATGTTTGCTTGAATTCTGACTGAAGACAAGCTTGGGCAAAGTTGCATGAATGCCTCCAATGGAATCATGTCCTATAATTGGTTTCTGGGCTCAAATAAGAGGAGTGGTCCTTTGTGGAGGAGCAGCACATATGGCTGTGGCCCAGCAAACATCAGAGTTTTGAATATGAGAGACTTTGGAGAGGATGGCTTTTTTTCTTTTAAATCTGATCCATTTCAGGACGTTTTAAAATACTCAATTCTCGAACTGCCTTTCATTTCTACCTGACTGCTATCCCACTTCCGAGTAATGTTTTTACTGGAGCACACCATCCATAGCAATCTTGTCATCTTTTATCCTGAATCTGGGAATATCTCGGCCTGCAACTCTGCTGTTAAAAGACTGTGTGCTGTTTAGTAGAGTATCCGTCCCATTATAACACTTTACAAATGAAGTGTTCCATGCTTCCTCCTGATCGCGTATCCTGTTGGTTGTTCAAGGAATTGTTTACTGAAGAGGTTTCTTCCTCTTCACAGTGAGGTCTTATTGATGTCTGTGCTACGCAAAGACTTGTGCCAATTGTATGATGGACTGGATTGTTAAAACTCAACCAGGGTGACTGGTGAAAATAAATATCCTCTTGTCATCACAAAAATTGTATGAATCAACTAGGTGTGTTTCCTTCATTTTCCAAGTTTGAACATCTTGGCTGCCTCAAGGGTATCACATTCAACAATATTTATTTTGAATTGAAAGAGTAGTTATTTGAAGCCAAAATGTTGATATTTTCAGGAGGCATCTTTGACTGAGTTCATGTAGTTGAATTAAGTGAAGGAATTCGGCAAGGTATAATTCTGTCGCACATATAGCGTCATGAAATACAGAACAAGGAAGTATTGAAAAAAATAGAATTTGACACCAAAGCCATATATGGCGATTTTAAGTCAGATGATCAAAATCCTTCAGTTTCTTGGGGTAATGAGGTCCAGAGCATATGTGTGAAAACCAGTTTTTTCTGAAACTTTAGGTTAGAAATTGCCCTGCATGAAATGTACGTTAGTCACATTGCTTTAAATGTCCATGTATTTTTCATTCTTGACCAAACTGATAGAATAAGTTGATTGGCACAGGTGTAGAATGATAGAATGTGTACTTGAGAGAATTATTTACTGTGAAATACTCAAGTTCTGGTAGTGGCTGGTACTGTAGGGATGAGGTCAGAGTGTTGCAAAAGAAAGTATGGTTAAAGTCTAATATTTACTCGCGACTGTATTTTTAAAAAGAAACAAGTGCCAACTGTGCTTTGGAAGGCAGGATTACAACAGAGGATGCATCAAAGGTGCGGCACGGTGGCTCAGTGGTTAGCACTGCTGCCTCACAGCGCCAGGGACCCGGGTTCAATTCCACCCTCGGGCGACTGTCTGTATGGAGTTTGCACGTTCTCCCCATGTTTGCGTGGGTTTCCTCCAGGTACTCTGGTTTCCTCCCACCGTCCAAAGATGTGCAGGCTAGGTGGATTGGCCATGCTAAATTGCCCATAGTGTTCGGGGAGGTGCAGATTAGGTGGGTTTCTATGGGGATGGGTCTGGGTAGGATGCTTTGAGGGTTGGTGTGGACTTGTTGGGCCGAAGGGCCTGTTTCCAGACTGTAGGGATTCTATGATTCTATGTATCCTCCATTGCCCCTTCTTTTATTCCTATGATGTGCACTTAATTCCAAATTTACTTTGGAACCGTTTATTGATTTTTTTTTTTTTTTTGCTGCGTTCTGAGTCGGGGCATCAGGCCTGAAAGGATAGCTGTCTGCTCTTTGTCTAACAGGCTTCATTGTAATCTTTTTCCCATTTGCATTGGTGATGCTTGAAAGAAGATTTGTGTATCTAAGTGCACTGTGTAATGCTACGCAGATGAGATGTGTCCCAAGCTCAGTCTGTGTTTGCTGTTTTTCGTTCGACCTGCAGTTGGCCTGAACTGCTTGGATGATGTCACAATCTTGGTGTTCATGCATGAGGTTGCTGACGTGCAATTTCTGTGTATTTGTGGATGTTGCATCTGCTTAGATCGCACTAATGGCCTTAGCCTAAAAACTGGCTGAGTTTACACTGGGTTTACATTCTGGAAGCTCCTGCTCTGTCTGCTTGGGTACCATATTGGCCTTAATGATAAATCGAAGTATTTGAGGGAGCACTGAATTGTATCTCAAGATAATTTCAAGTTGATAAAATGGAGAATTCTGTGAACATGGGAGTGGAAGAAGGGGTCGTTTCACTGATCTATTTCTCCAGGAACTCAAGCTCATGGGTTGTAGGGTCAAAAATTCAAATCCCAGCAGACCAGCTCATGAGAATTTAATGCAAAACCAGCAAAATTGGAGTTGAAAGGTAGACTTAATCATCTCATGAAGACTATTTCTGTCATTGAGTCATAAAGACCCAACTGGCTTACTCGTGCCTTGACTGGTCTGCATCATGTGTGATCCACATGTGCTTGACTTTAAGGCCAGTTAGGGCAAAAAGCTTGTCGGTGACTGCTGCATGTGCTGAGAGAGCAAATAATTTCACGAGGTGGGAGAAAGTTGGTTCAGTTTGAAACGACTGTCTGCAATTTGCCTGCAAACTGGGCAGGTTGCTTTCTCGAAGGAGCCAAAGAAAATAACAGATGTTTGTTTTAATTGTGTGCAACACAAAAAGATTGAGGTTGGGCAGGGCCTACTGCTTTTATGGAGTGTTCGGATAATAAAGTAGTGTCTGTTCTTGATCATTACAATTTGAAAAATATTAACTTATGCCCAAGATCCTGACTGCCTCACTGGCTGAACTATGTCCAAAGCATGTTGCTCTGTTGTAGAAGACAAAATAACAAGTGAAATCCATGTTAATCTATTTTTCTGCTTTTTCTTTGTTCTCTACTTTGAAAATGCTCATGGCTCCGTTGAGTGTGTTTTAACAGGTGGAGGTGTGTTTCTGACTGAAAATTCTTATCCCTAATTGTTGGGCGTCGAGTCAAGTGAGGCAACAGCAAAATTGAATCTGGCTCTTTGTCCATGCCAAGGTCGAAGAAGGTGTCACTAAAAAGACAAGGTGATGATCCTGGGTACGTTCAGCGACCCAGGGCCTCGGGCCATCTGTGTGTAGCCATTACTTCATTGTGCTTGCCTCAATAAGTATGCTGGTCTGAATTGGTGAATTTAGGATGGAGTCTACTGTCAGTTTGATTGCAGTACTTTTTAAGTGTACAGACTTAAATTTGTGCCATGATTGCTGCCACATAACGATTAACTGTGCATGTGAATCGAGTTTATTCATGTGCATCAATGAATATCTTGTGGTACGCATTGTCACATTTTGCTTTCTAGCCTGGTCCTCCTCTGAATTGCTTTAATAATCACCCCTTTTGTAGGCATGCAATCCGTGAACAGAGCTGTCTGATGAAACCTTTTTTGAGCGTAAAGTTGTTATAAGTACAACCTTGTTAACACACAAGACTGCCTGAGCGGACAATTAGTGTGATTGATACCAGGATTGTCAAAATGTGATTGCAGGTGTGAAATACATGCAGAGACATCCTGTGGTCTTGAACCATTCAGACCAGTGAAGTATTGTGAAAGATTGAAATCTTGATCTTGACCAACATGACAGTAAGAAATATATCAATTGCTTTTCATGACTTTGGGTTTGAAGGAAGATAGTTGGACAAACTACTTGACTACTGATGACGAACCAAGGGGAAGAGAACAGTGTTAGCAGAGAATAGTAAGATGTTAAGCTAGGACGTTTCGTGTGTTGATGAACTCGCTGGCACTCAGTCTCTTTGGTTGGGGTCATTTACTATGTTAAAGGTGCTGTGTCATTCAAAGCTCTTGGTGGATCAGATGGCCACTAATGTCTTGGAATGACGCCGCATGGTAAGTGTTGGTTGATTTCCATCATCCTATTTGGATGTGTTATAGTACATCTCATGATCACGTGGAACCTTCAGTATGCTAAGGTCCAGAGGTAGGGACAGTATTATTGACCACAGGGTAGTCCAACATTTGCCTGGGTTACAATGCAAAGACATGACCACTCCACCACCAACTCCCACCACTTTATGTGGTATTGATATTCTCCTCGTGTGGGACTTGAACCTGTGTCCCAGATTGATTCTTGTGATGTGTTTTCAACTGAGCTCACTGGATCTTTCGACAAAGTGAGGGGGAAGAACAAGAGAGGTTGTTGGAGTCAAGTTATTTGTTGAAGTATGAATTGGTTTGATTTGCTTCTTGGCAGGCTGGGATATGATGCTAAAGTTGATGAGCCAGATGGAATTATTTAAAATGTGTGCTTTCAGTCTCGCTCTGTTAGCTGGTTACTGACACAGAACTGACCAGATTTCGTGCTCTTCTCATGTCAATGATGTTCTGGGTGTTTTAAAACCTGAAAATCAGATTTTAAATAAAGTTGAGTTGATTTCAATAACAGTTACATAGACTGACACATGAGCATTGTTTCAGTTTGAGAAAGAAGACTTTTTTTCTTCGCAATATTGGAAGCTCCGTCTCCATGAGACAAGTTATTGTGCTTCATTATGTCGCTTCACTTCATTTTACATTGAGGTCACGGAGGCCGGAGTTCAGATTTTCCCATCTGTGACTCCCTACTGCCAGGTGTCTTTGGGTAGTCCGGGGTTGAAGAGACAAACATGTTCAGTATATTGCCAACTCAATTGTTAACAAGGATGTTGTTGTTGTTGTTGTTGTTTCATTATCTCTAATGCTGTACAAATAAATGTAGCAACCAACCTTCTGCAGAGGGTGTTTTCGTTGCAGTGCTCTAATCAGTAATATGTTTACAGCACTGGAAATATATGGTTTCCATTATTGCCTTGGATCAGTCGTCATGGAAAAGTCAATTTTTCTGAGTTTGACACAGTTTTTTTTTGGTGCGATCTGTTTATATCTGAATTGCGGTTCTCAAGATCGTACACTGCTTTCGAAGGTATTGATGATGCTCCCACAGTATCTGAGAAAATACCTTGGCTCTTCACTTGGCAGTGATATCGACAAATAGCAGGAGAAATTTCAGCTGTAATGCTAGAAATCAGAAATAAAGGCAAAGAATGTGGGAAGTACTTAATGAGACGTGCAGCATACGTATAGGGAAGCAGTTGACATCTCAGACCATTCACCTTACTGCTGCTTCACAAGTATTTCCAGCAGAGTTACTGAGGGTCCCTTGATACTGTTCATCTCCATTTTGGTGACAGAGTGAAATGAAGTGCATAAATTGAGATGAGTGGTCACAGTGCAAGAGCATTTGTTTGTTAAATCTGCCAGCAGATGTCCTGATGCAACTTGGATGTTTGCAGATTTTGATGGCAGAGAGTTTTGAATTTTTTGGGTGACTGGAAGAAGAATGTTGCATTTTGCCACTTGGGTTGGTTAGCTCTTCACATTCTTGGTCTTCCTTTTTTTTCATGGCGTTGGTAGCTTACAAATGGTGCTGTGCATGAGGTAATGACCCAAGCTTGCCCATAGCTTAGGTTGGATTTTCACTTGATTCATAGCGACACTTAGCAAGAATGTTATTGACAGTTTTGCACATGAAGTGTGTGTGAAATAACAAAACGATTTAAAAAACTGTTGATATCCTTGGGTGTGACTGTGAGGTTTCCGAGTTGGAAGAAGAAACTCCTCATGTTAAAGCACTAGAGAAAATCACTTGCTCAATGCACTTTTGCTTTCATAGCTAAGGTTAGCAAGTATTAACTGAAATGGCATGATTTTAACGCCCTATTACATTTAGCCTTTGCACTTGACACAAATGGATTAATTCATTGTATGACTGGTAACAGTGACTTTGGATTCATGACCTCAGAAATGGAGGGAATCACACATTACACTGTATAACATAAACATGTAGATTCATGCACACATTAAGATAAATTGCAGAGTCGGTGTTGACTGTTGAATTGTGCATGCAAGTTCCATGTGGATATAGTTCATAGTGACTCCTGGGTACAACTCAGCTTTACAGTGCACTGCAAAGGTTCTGATGTGAAATGAGCTGAATCCATAATGCAGTGCACTGTGTTGGTTGTCTTTTGAGACCCAAAGCTATGTACTGGAGTTTTGTTTTGCTTTCTCTATCTGACTTTCAAGGTGCCAGTCTTGATCCTTAACTTTCACAACTGTTGAGCTTGAAATCTAATGCATATGGAGTGCTTTGAGCCTTCTCCCAGTAAAAAGCATTCTCATGGTGAATTTTTTTTTTGTGGTCTGAGACTTAAGGCAGGAAACAAAAGTTCGTCACAAATACAGCAAGGTGCATTGATAGCCATTGTGTTAAATAGCCAGTGAATGACCATTGTTCCAAAGGGTTTCTTTTCCTGAACCATGAGGCTGAATTTTTCAGAACAGGGAAAGCAAACAGCATTTTCCTGTTAGTTCAGGTTCCTGGATATTGTGTGTGCAGAGTATTTTTTTTTGGTTGTGATGCTTTGTCATGTTCTGCTGCATTGGTTGTTGTCAGTAGGGGTGACAGAAGAGTATTTTGTGAAGGCAAATTTGAAATTCCTGGACGTGGAGTTGAGACTACCGACATTTGTTAATGACGTTTTTGGAGCATACATATCAACATTGGCTTGCAAAGCAGATAAATTGAAGAGCATGATAGGATAGAGACAGAGATGTTTGAAGTTCTTTTTTTAAAGAAAAGAGCTGTTTAATGCACCATCTTGAATTGTGCCCCTTGTTAAAGTTTAGTTATAAAAACTGAAGAGCCATTCTTGATAAGAAAATCTGTATCATACCTGTAGTAACAGAAAGCAAAATGGGACTGTTTAAGATGGTTCAGGTCACTGTGTTTTCTTTGATCAGCATTGCCTGGGCGTCTTGGAAGATCTGATCTTTTCTTTCAAATCTACATATTTTCAGATCCCTGATTGACCTCACCCTCTCCCAGTCTCTGCAAATTTCTCCTGCAGTTCTGGCTATTAGTGTGATAGGATTGCCTCACCATTGTCTCAGCCATAAACTCAGTGTTGTGTTTTCACTTCTTTATATCACCTATTCTAAGACGTTCATATTCATCTCTTTGATTCCAGTTGGGCAGGTGTTCAAGTGTACTCCTGGATGATTCAGTCTTGTTGGTCCATGTTCCAAAAATCTGCTTGGGACATGTCATAGCACATTCCAAATGGGAGGCAAGACTGGCCTGGGATCAAAGCTCTTGACCTTTAACACATTCACTGTTTTCTGGCTCAAGGTTAAGGATGCAAGCAGAAAATGCTGGATGGCTTTACGTTGGATCATGATGGTAAATGACAGTGAATTGAAAAACACTGACTTGTTAGGGTAGAGTTTGCCTTGTTGAACCACAGAGGAGAAGGTTCAGCAGTTGGTTTGTTACCTGAACTTGTAATTGTGATATCTTGGGTAGCTTTGCAGGTATATCATTTGTACAGTCACAGAACTGAGCTGTTAAGGCAACAAGAAGCATAAGAAATTTTAATATATTTTAATGAAGGAGTTGCTGTAAGTGGGTAAACATACTATGCAGTTAGTTCTGGCTTTCATTGGTCTTCAGTGTTTACTGAGTGAGCTTAGCAAATGACAGGATTGTTTTGACAAGTTTTATCTTTTGCCAGCAATGTGTAATTTTTGAACACTTCTGGAAACTTGAATTTCACTTTGAAGCTTTTGGTTGAACATTCCACTTGATTATCTGAAAATGGTGGAGAATTGGTCAGCAAAGTAAAAGTATCTTGTGTAAATGGCTAATGAGTCAATAATTGAAACAAACAGCATCTTAAGATGGTTTTATTCTGCCTTATCCATTTTTTTTCTCCATTGATTCTGTGAGGTGATGCCATCTTGATTTCTCATCTGTCTAAGCCCCAATAGATGAACTACAGTATCAGATGAATGAACAAGGTTTATTGGCTGCCATGATGTTGCAGTTATGCTTGCCCTTCAACTGGGTGAGCCAAGCAAGTCATGTCTGTCTGTCTGCCTGTTCTGCTCCCTTCCTCCAAAGCATTGCGCATAGACCAGGGACCTTCCTGGAATGCGTGGCTCTGTGCCACGCTCTACAGTGTACTTAGGCATTAAGCCA